CGTCTGGGGAGCAATGGAGGGGCCTGGCTGGTCCCGCACATGGGGAGTTGACGGAGGCTTTACCCTGAGGTCTGTTCTAGGTATCTAGATGGACACTGTGGGCCCAAGGCGTTACTGTAACCCAGTCACTGCCCAACATCAAACAGCGTCAGACTCGGACAGGGTTTGGTGCACCAAGACATCAGCCGGCCAGTCCCAGGGCGAACCCCCGCTGGAAACCCTGGGCCCCCTTTAGCAAAGGTGCAGAAAAGAAGTATTTGAAGAGTAAGGTTTGAAGTCAGGCTTTCATTGTGACAACCTCCAGCGTTCCCTCGAGCTGGGGAGAGTCTAAGGACAAGGCCCCAGGTCCGACAGTCTCCTGGATGGTGTTCAAGGTGGTGATTAGCGTCCCGTGAGGGGCCAACAGGAGAAGTTGGTGGGGATGGGCTGGATAAAATCCGCTCCCCTGTCTCAGACGACAAGCCGAGACAAACACAAAAGGAAAGAGGAACGCACAGCAAAGCTGGAAAATGCAGCTTCTCTCTGTGGGGTCGACTTCACTTGCAACCTCATGACTGGAGAAAAACAGGCCCGGTACGAGGCCTGGCCAGGTGCTACGAGGCCTGGCACGCTTGTAGCCATGTGGGGCTGTTTAGGGCATTGCTTTTTAATGGCGTCTTTCTGATCACAGCAGCGCAGTCTTGGCTGGCTAAGCCAATCTCTTATGAGAGAGGGAGCGGTGGGTGGACTATCTCACCCCCTCATTATTGGGTCCACCAATTAGGCCTCATATCCGACACCCCGATTTTGGTTCACTGATTTCTGGTCCTCGGCTCCTCTCGTGTACCAGGCATAACCGTGACCCCGTCGTTGAGTGAGAGCCGGAGGCTGTTTCGTCCGGTCTAAGTCGGTGTGTCTTTCCCAGCTCTGTTCCTTGGGCTGGGTGAGGGGTTCTCAAACTTCATTGCACCGCGACCCCCTTCTGACAACCAAAATTACTACAAGACCCCAGGAAGGGGGACTGAAGCCTGAGACCCCCGCTTTGGGGGGGCCCCGAAGTTTGAGGGCTTCAGCCATAGGCGCCAACTCC